TATATGCCATACTAAGACATATTACCTTGAGTTAACCTCGCTGCAAGGTCATTATGATTCATCCTTGTGAGAATGTCCACTGTGATCTCCGCAGCACCGTCTCTCCCATAAACCTGCACCATTTTATCCACAGTTCCCTCTCTGGTTACGTTCTCCAGCTGGGACTGCAGAATGGATTTGCATCCTTCTATCTCATTCTGGGCCAAGTACCACTGAAATCTCTTTAGCTCCACCTCAGTCAGCTCGTCCAGGTGGTCTTTCAGGACTTTCACAATTGGCACAGGTGTGGTCATTTTGAACTTCACAGGATGTCAAACAATCAGTCTGCGAACTTCTCTACAGCTGTGAACTGACTGTCAAAGACAATAGAAAAAAAGTTAAGGTCAATTATGGAACAAATGAAATACATTAATGAGTTTTAAGTTTTAGGGGTCAGTTTTGCCTGTACAGCAGAAGTCTTTAGATACAAACCAACAAAACATAAGGATTCAAACCATCTCAACAAAAGGCTGTCAGTCAGTGTAACTGGTAAGCTGGTGTTTGACAGTGTTTCAAGTCAAGTCCTGAAGATACTAAATACATCTCTTCAAACAGGCATCCTCCTAGATTCCTTCAACACAGCTGTTGTAAAACCCATACTAAAGAAACCCAACCTAGGTGGAAATGCACTGCCCAGCTACAGGCCTATAGCCAACCTTCCATTCATAGTAAGATACTTGAAAACATAGTTTCAGTGCAAATGAATTAATTTCTTAAAAAAAAAATAGCATCCTGGAGGAATTTTAATCAGGCTTTAGAACACACCACAGCACTGAAACTGCTCTTAGTAAAACAATCAGCGACCTCAGACTAAATTCTGATCAAAATAAGATCTCAGTTCTCGTCCTCTCAGACCTCAGCGCAGCATTTGACACAATTGACCATGACATCCTTGTCAAGTTGGTTGGTCTTGTAAGGATCAAAGCCTTACCACAGGCCTTGTAACAGATCTCCAATTAAAGTATCAAAATAATTGTCGGAAATAACTAATAGTCTTTATTAATTATGTTATATAATGTGACTTAATTAACATTAAATCACCCCGTTGGACACCATTCCAAAATCATGTGTCTGAGAAACATGACCTCTGTTTTGGGGTACACAAGGTAGTTACCTCTGTCCATTATTATTCATATTGTACATGCTGCCACGTGGTGACATCATTAGAGAAAACAATGTTTCCATAGTTACGTGGATGACACACAACTGTATATCTCTGCTGAACCAAGTGATGCTTCAGCCATAAACCCCATTACTACCTGTCTTTTGGTAATAAATGGATGAGCAATAATTTCTTCAAAGCCACTGTGTGTCGGAATTTCTCCCATCTAACGCTGAAATTCTATTTTGCATTCAAACGGATGGCGCACTCTAGCGCCTCACCGTTACAAACGCGTATTGCAACAATGGTAGTCGCTGTGTACCAAAAAGCTATGATAACACTTAGGGCTGCACGGTATATGCGGTAGATGGTAGAAATGATATAAATTTGGCCCACAGTAGAGATTTGCGCTCTACCGTCCTATCGTCGATGACGTCATCGCACCTGCCTCAGTGTGAAAATGGCTGCGAGCACAGAGACAGCGGAGCAAGAGGAGCTGGTTCACGTCCGTGATTTAGCGTAGCACGTGCAACATGTGTTGCTGGAGAACTTGTGAGTGAGTGAGTTAATGTGTTATGAACAGCCCCGGACTTCTCAGACTCTTTTAGCGACTTACCGCTCAGAGGGAACTCATTCAGTGTCTCCTCTGGCAGCAGCACAGCGTCTCTCCCTCTCCTCTCTCACCGTGCGCACACGGGAGTTGATTTTCGGCAAGAGAGTTTGTCATAAACCTTTGGTAATGTAAACCTATGTGACGCTAGGGGCTCCACAAAAAACTCCATATGTGAATGTGTGATAGTTGTGGTATCATAGCAGCCTGTCACAGGTTACAGCGTGATGATTAGAGGAGAAATGGCAGAGCATAAAGGTCCAGGTGGAAAAAACATAACTCAGTCATTTAGGATTTTGCTAAAAGAAGGAAATTACCTTTTGATATAGATCCCAGGGGACATTTTGCACCATAGAGTACTGGGTTTTAATTTTGAGTTTTGAGATCTGCATTCTGCACAATAAATGCTCTAAAAAATACAATATATCTTTGCTTTTGTTGTTGTTGTTGTTGTTTTTTTTTATTAATTTAGCTTTGCTAAGAGACTACAAAACCCATTCAGAAACACTTCTATTATAACTTTTACATTTAAATTTATACCGCGATATATACCATTACCGTGAAGGGATTCAATTTATACCGTGATATGAATTTTAGGTCATACCGCCCAGCCCTAATAACACTGATGAAACCATGTCATCCGATAATTCATGGAGTGTTCATTCAGGCTCCTACACAGACACACACGATGAGAGTTGACAAACCCCATCCTCATCATGCTGGCTGTGTTTACAACATAGGACTGTTGGGGCGGGTGTAAATCGAAACAAGAAAATCACTTCTTGTCTAACAGCTGTTAGTGGCTCAGCGCTGGCCTGTGATTGCATTACCTCTCTCCACCTGGGAAAGGCTACCCCGATGTCTACCCTCGTTTTTTGAATCCGCCGGTCACGTTGCCTTTTTTGATTCCCTTTTTGCGCTTTCTTGGCGACAAGGATTCCGTCTCTTCAAGTCCCACATTAACAAGGTGACGAACGGGGCGTCTGTGGCGTGGTGGGTGGTGCCGGCACCCCATGTGCAGGAGCGGGGCCTCACTGCAACGGTTGCAGGTTCGACTCTGTCTTGCAACCATTTCTGAATGTCAGCCGGAAGAAGATCAGGGATGCAGCCTTTGTCACTTACACCCCAAAGCTATGGAGCACACAGATATCAGGGAAGCTAGCTCGCTAAATATTTTTAAAAGAAAGCTAAAAACGTATCTGTTCACTTTAGCCTTTAACTTGCTCTGACTTCCTGATACAGGTCTGAAACTCTTTCTTTTTACGCTACACGCTGCTTCAACTCTTTTAAATCTTACTTTATTATATGATTTATAGTTTTATGACTTTATGAATCAGTTGTTTTATGTCCATTTTGTCTATTTTCATGTGAAGCACTCAGCGCTTATAGGGCCGGATCTACTAAGATCCCAATTTGTACTAATTTGCCTGCGCAATCTAGAATTTTGCGTGTGGGGCTGTGGGTGATTTACTAAGAGTGCTTGTGCAAATGACAACAGGTGCAATCGTGTTGGAGACACCCTATTTAAATGAGGGTTTTGCGTGTTTTATGGTTTGCAGCTTGGTGAGTTTGGAGAGAAAGCGCAAAGTGAAATTTGACCCTATGGACTTAGAGGTGTTGGTAGATAAGGCCAATAAACACTTAAATGAGCTACAGCATAGAAACCTGACTGTCTCACAAAGGAACGCTGTATCACTAGGACCGCCAGGATTACAGCTCCCCTCCAAGCGCAGCAACGTCTGCCGAACTGTTATGTAACTTCATTGTTTATGCTGCGCGTGTGCTCAGAATCACACAAAAATGCATTTTTGAGTAGCCTAATTTCCGAGAAGTTATGATAAAATATAAAAAAATTACAGATAGGACTGACAACCTCTCCAATGTCTCATGTCAATTAATTAGGCCTAACACTAGGTATTTGTCGTTTTTGTTTTTTTTTTTTTCTTGCTGCTGTGCTGCTGCTGCTGCGCTGTGTCTCCAGTTGAAAGTGGCTTTGCTAAATACATTCTGCAATAATAAATTAGATTCATTTTTGATCTTTAATATTGTTGGCTATATTACGCATTTTAATAAAAAAAATTTATTGATACTACTCCTCTCTGACACACACACACACACACACACACACACACACACACACATTGAACTTGCGATTGAATGAATGAATGAACATTGGAAGCGGTTCAGCCGCAGTCCTGCCGGCTGGCGCGGTCACTGTTGAGATTACATTTGTTTATTATTAATAACAAAATGTTTTTTTTATTGACCGTATGAATGGTTTTGTTTTCAAATAAATATATGGAAACAAAAATGTATGCTTTGGTGTACTTTTTCAGAGTTTTGCAATATGTATATAGGCTAGCCTACCTGTATGTATCAAAATGTATCATTTTCGGCAGCGGTCTGAGGTATAAATGCTCAGAAGTCTAGTTTGTTTCAGTTTTGTAACTTAAAGGCTTCAGAAAACATACAAGACACATTTTTAAGAAAAGACATAGGAATAGAAGCTTGTAGGTTTTATCTAAACAAAGTTATTTGCATTATAAAAACCCAAACGGGCTGTCAGACCGCCCATCAGAGTGATTGTTTCCTCATTCATTCCAAAAATGTTCACATGAAAGTGAAAAATGTGTTCTCTGCGTCTTCTTTCATTGTTTCGATGTCTCCTTGCAACAATAACTGCAGCCATGTGTGCGCAATTACGCATAAACCGTTTACAAACCGTTTGCACCTCCCTGGCACGTGTTAAATATAGACACAGTTTCTATGAGCAAAATTGCTTTCAGGTTTGATATATCATGTTGCGTGTGCTAAATTAATATATTTACATTTTCTCCTCCCAGCACACGCACAATTGCGTGTAAACGCCCCATATTGCATATTCATTGCAGCAAACGTACTAACTGGATGCAGACACGCTATTTTTAAAGACACAACCCTTAGTGCGCACTGTTAGTAAATCAGTTTGTACATTTTTTTGTGTGTGCAATGAGTTTGCACACGTTTTTATACACGCAAACCTTTAGTAGATACGGCCCATAGTGTCCTTATTGTAAAGCACTTTGTGCTGCATGTCTTGTTTGAAAGGTGCTATATAAATAAAGTTCATTATCATTATTATTATTATTATCATTATTATTATTATTATTATTATTATTATTATTATTATTATTATTATTATCTACTGTTCATTTTCATTACTCAGTCGTCTCTGAATTACTCTACAAAACAGAACAGTGCAGATAATTTGTCATTAGTGTGGGATCAGCCATTTAAAGCACCAGTGCAGCAAACAATTGCTTTCTTTATGGAGTCAAAATATCTACATGCCGCACCTTTGCATGATGGAGGCAAAGTCCAAGTTGTGTTGTTTTACTGCCTCCATGCACAGTACATGCTTTGACTAACCTCCATGCATTTACAACTCCCTTCCTCAAACTTGAAAAGATTAGATTTTCCCTTGGAGACACTGGTAAATCCTTCGACAAGATCTGGAAGCCCTTTATGGAGTTTTTGAGTAAGGTTACCATTCACTCAAATTAATTGTAAACAAATAAAAGTATTAATAGTTTATAATGTCTGTAGTGACTGGTCCTGTACCC